GCGGCTGGGCCGCCAGTGCGGAGCCAGTGTCGCGGATGGTTGGCCGTGGTCTGAGCGAACCAACAATCCTTTCCATGCGTGCACTTTCCTGATTCCTTGAAAGAGCGACATATCATGTCCTTGCCTTTGCCTGTGCCTTTGCTTTTGTCTCCATCTCTCCTGCGTCTCTCCGAACTGGTGCTGGAGGCCCTGGGGCCACCGCCGCCCGCAGATGAGGAGACATTGGCGGCAGCGGCATTGGCTTGTTCAATTGTGCGCTCGTATCCCAAAGTCTGTCCCGCATTAAGCCTCGCTTGTTCATACTTGTCACGCTTGAGCTTTTCCGCGTCGGTCAAGGCTCTGTGTTGCCTGTAGCGACCGTCTAGGGGTCCACGGCAGTTCTTAGGGTCCCGTGAGTAAGGGTAACACGGCAACTTGCTCTGTGATCCACGCGAACGATCGGATTGACTCCTAATCCGTTGCTGCGCACCCTTTCCACGGCCACCCGTCGGGGTCTGTGATCGGCTCTGTGCCTTTCGGCCCCCGCCTTTAGGTTTCTCAGACCTCCCTCTGGAACTCGCATTCGGAGCGGGGGCAGCGTTTGACTTAGCCCCCGCAACCGGCTGGGCCGGAGCGGCGGCTTTAGGCTTCTTATGTTTAAACGGGCATCCCTGACCTGCATACGGGCAAATCTCGCCCTTACGCACAAACTCGCACGTCGTCTCGCCCTGAGTCACTCCGTTCTTCATAACGTCCGTGGATTTCCCAAGACGCGCTGCCACTTCTGCCGCAGCGGCTTTGCCGTTGAGGCCTCGGCGGTTGTCGTTGCCGTTGCCTCCACCGCCGCCCATGCGCGTCTGTCGAGCACGTTGGTTCAAAGTACCCTCATGCATACTGATGTTCCATTCTTCCTTCTCACGTAACATCATCCATTCAAGTTGGGATATGAGCCATTCGCAGGTTTTCATGCCCTCTCCTAGCTTGTCCGTGGACAAATCATAAAGTTGGCAGACTAGCTCCAATCTCTTCGGCTTCCTGCATTGCTCAATGATGTGTGCATGGATGGAAGCTCGCATCTGGTCAGGCGGAGGTCGTACGCCATAGAGCTGCTGATGCACATCTGTCCACTCATTAAAGGAATTGTATAAATCAGCATCTGGGCGACTGGGGTCAATAACTACCTTAAAGATGCCACGCGACATGCGAAGCACCAATAGCAAATGGCTCGCATCATTTCGCGCCCTGTCAATAGCCTCTGCTCATTTTGTGCGCCGTATTCCATGTGATTGATCTGTTGAAGGAAGTGAATGTGATGAGTGGAAAGACCGCGATTCCTACGCCTTTTGTTAAACTTCTCAATCAGGTTAGTGGCAATCATGATGTCCAGACGTTGGAAGCGACCCAGATTTCTGAGCTGTTCGTTGTCCACAAAGGGGTCCATAGCTTCCATGATCCAGAGCTGTGCTTCCCGAATCTCAGGAGGCGATCCAGCAACAGCACGAACCGTATGCATCTGCCACTCCCGTATGTTTGTAACATCGGGAATGTCCATCAGATCGACTTTCTGATTGTTCCCAACCTGTCTCCACTGATCCAGAGGGGCACTCTCGTCAAGACCTCCCGGGTCGTTTGGCCTTCCTGGGCCCTGAGGTCCGCCCCGGCCGCCTCCACCGCCTGGGGATCCAAGGCCCCCCGGACTCCCTGGGGGCGGCTTCTCCGACTGGTCTCGAATGGCGTTAGCAAGTGCCAGCAGGATCTCGGTACTTGGTGCGGTACTATGATCATCCCCATCCTTGTCTTGCCCTGCCCCGCCAGGCGACGCGGCTGCTGGCGCATGGCCCTTATCTCCACCAGACGGCTGGGCCGCTGGCGGTTTCGCTGGTCCCGCCTTGGTGAAAGGATGATAGTTAATGAAAGTCATGTCATCACTAATACCTGTCAAATCCGAATTGGTGGGTACGCCGTTCCCGGAGATACCAGGCTTGGCTGGACCTTCGGTTGCAGGGCCAGGGACAGTATAATGGGGTTGCATGGTTGGCCTCACGGGCGTCTTCTGTGAAAGCTGGGGCACGTCGAACAGACTGAACCTGGGCAACTTATCCAATTCTTTCTCGATATAAAGGATTCCAATCCCATGAATATCGCCATCTCTTGTGCCCTTTCGATCATGGCCGCTTCGCGGTCGGCAGAATGCAACTGAGGCTGCACATTCTGCCCTTTCTCTTTCAAGGATTCAGTGATGATAGCCTTGAGCTCCATCACTGCTTTCTCTGATGCAATTGCGCGTGCCAATGCCTCATCTTTCTCTCGAACGTTGGCAGCTGACCTTTCTGAGCTCAGTCGAAGCTGTTCCTCAGCTTGCTCCTTCATCCGCTGCGCATTAAGTTTATCGGCGTAAAAATCATCGAGGAGCTTTTGCTGCTGGGCCCGAAAGTTGGGGTCAGCGCTATGTCGCTGCCATTGCTCACCCCACTCCGCCTGTTCCACGGGCAAACTCTTTCGTTGAGTGCAGGTGACGCAACGTCTGGTGCTCGTGTTAAAGTGGTCTTTACAGCTTGGCAACCCGCAAGTGGCGCATTCTCCGATTTTCGGGCTCGAGCATATTTAGCAATTCTCTTCATTGACCCCTTTCGCGGGCTGCGGCTGCTGGGCAGCCCTTACTCGCAGCATTGGCGGCCTTCCGCCATCCAGGGGCGCCGGGCCAGGCTGGGCCTGCGACGACGTCGCGCCGGGCGGCTGGGCCGCCGGTGATGGTCGTCTGCTCTCCCTCGCCGGCTTAGCCGGTGGCACATTTCGTCGCCGAATTGCACTCGCTGAAGAGATGCTCTGGCATTTTCATGTAACTTGAGCTCGTCTCGATACTGATTATTCTGATCAACTATCGTCGCAGCTACAATCTGTGTATTGGCCACTTCCAGCCTGGCAGCATTAAGTTGGTCTTGGAGCTCCTGTTTATCATGTTCTGCCCTGGCCGTCGCGGCCCTCTCCCCCTCTATTCTCGCCGCCGCAACAGCGGCGCGCGCGGTCTTGGCATCTACAAATTGATTGTTCGCCGCCGCGGCAGCCTGTCGTTCAGAAGACACCGTCTCAACAATTCTGTTCTCGGCTTCTGCTTCCGCGCGCCGCTGGGCAGCCGCGGTCTGATGGGACATTTGTTCCATCAACTCTTGTTCCCGCCTACTGGCAGCTTTTGCCAGGGCGACTCTTTCAGCCTCGAACTTCTTCCGAACATCTTCAATAACTGCGTTCATTCTTCTCGCTCCAGTCGGGCCTGTTCGGCCCTCTGGGCTTCCAGGATCACGATTTCTTGCTGTGTTTTGGCCTCGACGAATCTGGCCTGATCCTGCATAGCTTGGATGAGAAGGCGTTGGCAATTATGTTCTTCCATCTGAAAGCAATCCTCGCACAACCATCGATTGCCGCAATTAGGGCGCACGTCAGAACAGTTTCCACGCACTGGACGCTTACAGGGTCCGCCCTGCTTGTGAGTTTTCCCCGGGCACCTGTTTTCCGCCTTGGGCGGGCAGTCGAGGCCTCGGTTCCAGCATGCCTCACGCATGGATACTGCGCTGTTACTCCTCGAATTCGATCGGGCACCAGATCGCGGTATCTTGGGCCTTCCCCTGCTCGAAGCAGATGATCGAGGACGGACGTGCGCGCTCTCCGGTGGCTTGGCTACCTCTCGAAGCTCCTCATCCCGTTCGTCTTGCTTAACCAACTCAGTGAGCGTTGCTGGGGGGTTGAACATCTCGCCATCCTCAACTACCGTGGGCGCCGACGGCTGCCAATCGCCTGGGGCGACGGCAGTTCGATGGAACCCTTCCTGAAGCGGGGAATCATTCAAATCATAATATTCGTTCCTGTGCTTCTTATGTCGAGGAGCGGACGTTCGACCCGTGGTCTCCCGGTCATGCTCCACACGAAATTGGGAGCCCATTTCTACCTCGACCGCCTGGGGCGGCAGGTCACTGATCGATCGTGGTGTCTAAATCTGGTTCTGCGAGCGCCTTCCCAAGGGCTTCGAAGTGATCGTAGTCAACGGTTTCTTGCCCAGGGGATGACCTTCCGTCTGGGACGGGGTGGTCAGCAGTGCTCATTAGCGACAAATCTTGGCTTGGTGATACTTGGTAATTGGCATGCTCTATGTCTTCCTCCATGGAGTTGATATCGTCTTCGTCATCAAGCTGTTCGTCGCTGTCTTGACCGGGTTGCCCGTTCAAGGCTGTTGGGACGGGGTGAGCCCCTTGCGCGCAACCCCATCCGTCTGGGGCGGAGGGGGACACACCGCCAGACTCTTTTACGTCTTGCGACCCACTGGCTAGGCCAGCGGCCGGATCGACAGAACGCATGGCAATCGGGCTGGAATGTATTGTTTCAGAGGATTCAGCAATCCAAGACGAAAAGGCTCTTCGCCTGACATTTGCGGCTGTGCCGCCCCGCCTTGTCGGGTCTGGGGGTCTGTTCACGATCCCCGATCGGAATGCGAGTGGGGGAATCATCGACTGACAGATCTATGACTTCTCCCTCACCCATTCCACGAGAAATCCGAGTGGAATTAAAAGAAGAGAGAAGGCGGCCCTTCCCCCGGGCCGCTGTCCTGATGTTCTTGCCCGTCTCGTTGTACAACGTGTGCTCCGACGGGCAATTCGGCTGTCTCATCATAGCTCATCCCTATTGCGACTTGGTCGCGGCTTTCGGCTGATAGCCAGTCTTTCCTCTGAGAATCGGGGTAAGATGCCAAAGTCTCATGTTGACTATGCTCAGTGGTAGAGGATACGGGATGAGACATCGATGAAACTGTAGGTTATCCGTTAAGCAACTACACTCAAGTATAGGAAGTGAGGAGGTCCGGCCAGGTACGGACGACGACGCGGGCCGCCCACGCGCTCCCCAGCGCGCTCCTTTTCTCACTCGAGCAGTAGATACAGCTCCGGTATACAGCGATACCAATGTCAAGGTATGGCAAGGCAGGCAGCAGGAGAGGCAAGTGTATAATGAGGCGGAGAGGAGCATATTTACTCCCCGCGATGCTCATGATGCTGCGCACGCGTGTCTGCAGGGGGCACATGGCTCCGTACTCGAATCGTAAATTTCCAAGACCGTTCACAATCTCGATAGGCACCGTGGGGAATCCCACTGGCGCCGCAGGGACGGCGACAATGCTCTGCTGAACGCCGCCTTCAGCGTCTGCAGCAGCTGCTGCTGCTTGTCTTTTCCTAGTTTTTGCTTGTCGTGCCCGCTCACATATATCAGCTCTAGATGGTATGTCGGCCGCCGCAGCCTCGACACCAAGCTCAGCCAATGCCTCCCTCCATACATCACTTCTCCGAAACTTCCGCGGGCGCCCTGAATCATGTGCGGCTGCGCTGGCAAAAGCGTCGAAGATGTCAACCTCGCTGATCTGGTGCGGGCCCGTGTATCGTTCTGGGCCCGCCTCTGCCATATTGCCCTCTGCCTCTCGCGCAGCGACGTCCCATGCGTCATCTACCACGTCGGCCTCCATGGCCGTCGCCAGAATCTACATTACTGAGTCTGAGAAAGACGATAGGGCATAGCAGGGAAGTTTGAGCCAAAACGGCGATCGGGCGTAATGGGCGATGGGGCATAATGAGCGATGGGGCACAATGGGCGAGAAGCCATATGGGGACGGGGGAATAGGGAATTAGGGGGCCAGGGAAGAACGACGAGGGAAATTGTAATATATTATGAAGGGAAGTACGAAGCGATTTCTTTTATACACCGCAACACCTCATTCACAAGCTCGCCAGAAGCGCCTCCCGAAAATTGTATGCCCGAGGCGCGCCAGCAACATTGAATGCCTGAGGCGAACCAAACGCGCCGGAAGAGGGAGAAGAAGCGGAGCGGGGAAGAGGAAGATAACGCGTGAGCAGCGAGTGCGCCAGCAATGGCTGCTACGAGCGATCGCCGCTTAAAGCTTTGGCCATGGCCAGAAGTCATAAGCCACTGGCGAATGGTGGAGGAGGAGGAGAGGAAGAGGACAACCACAAAGGAAAACATGACCTCGCGAATGCGTAGACCATCCAGGGCATAGCCCGGGGTACCCGCACAGAGGTCCCACGCGAGCGGGGGAGGAGGGCGGAAGGAGGAAGGCAGAGAAAAGGTAAGAGGAACAGACGGGAAAAGGCACACTCACAGCCGACAGGCTCCATGCGCAGGCAGCAGCGCAGGCAGGACACCCGCCCAGCACGGCGGTGGCCTGCACAGACAACTACTGAACTAGCGGCTAGCTGGCGACAGGAAGCACCGCAGCGCCTGATGCAGGCGGACGCCCCAGGGGCGGCAGAGAGCCAAGCCCGCGCAGGGAGGCCCGGGGTCGACTGACCGCGGCCGCGGGGAGGCCGAATTAACATGCATAAGAAAGCTTCACGACATGCCTCACGTGCAACAGGAGGAGGAGGGAAGAAGAGAAGACAGAGCATCTACAGTGCGCCGTGTGGCCAGATTTGGCCAGCATCACCGCCGAAAAGCGAAGGAAAATGCCCAGCGGGCCTGGAGTGGCGCGCCAATCCGCAAGCTTTCACTTCGATCCTCCCCGGCGCCCCCCAGCGCATCCGGTCGTGCTTCTCGCGGGCGCGCCGCATGGCCTCAACGTGATGTTCGAAGTCCTTGTGGCGCAGCTAGTAGCGCCAGTCGTGCAAACCCTGGTGCATGGTCAGCATAGGTCCTACAGGGCAGAACCTGGAGGCGAACAGAAACAACCCCAGGAGACGAACCAAGGAAGCCCCCACCGAAAATCCCAAGACACCCCAGACCCAGACGCCAAGCCCCAGAAGGCCAAGTTGAGAGCCCCATCCGTCCTGGGGCTGCCCTGGCTGCTGCGGCTGTGGGAGCTGGGTGGACCGCGTCGTACTGTTGGTACCCGATGCGCGGGTCGCAGTGGACGTCCGAGTTGTGAGAGCATGTTCCCGTCGTGCTGGTGACCGCAGTAATGCAGGAGCCCGTCGAGCAGCGTGCTCGTGTAAGCGCTGGCGTTGGTGCCGACGCTGGCGCCGGAGTTCATGCTGGCGTCCGTGCTGGCGTCGGCGCTGGTGTAGGCGCTGGTGTTGGTGCCAGTGCCATCGCCCTGTTCGTGCAGGCGTCGGTGCTGGCATCGGTGTAGGCGTCGGCGTTGCAGATAGTTTGCGCACCGGTTAGCTGGGCAGCTCACCAGTGCGCTGCGGCCTGGCGGCGGTGCTGGTGTAGGCGCTGGCGTTGGTGCTGGCGTATGCGCCAGCATTGATGTTGGCGCAGTGGCTGACACTGGCTCTGGCGTAGGCGCTGGCGTTGGTGGCGGCGTAAGCGCATTCGTTGGTGCTAGCGCCTGTGCGCACTGGTTAGCTGGACAGCTAACCAGTGCGCTACGGTCTGGTGGCGGTGCTGCATTAGGCGCTGGCGGTGGTGCTGGCGCAGGCGCCAGCGTTCTTGCTGGCGCCAGTGCTGGCGTCGACGGCGGTGTAGTCGCCGGCGTTGGTTCTGGCGAAATCGCAGGCGTTCAATGCTGGCGTCGGTGCCAGCGTCGGTGCTGGCGTACGCGTCGGCGTCTGTGCTGGCGTCGGTGCTGACGACGGTGCTGGTGTAGGCGTCGGCGTTGGTGCCAGCGCAGGCGCCTGCATTCGTGCTGGCGTCAGTGCTGGTGTCTGTGCTGGCGTCGGTGCTGATGGAGGCGGCGGCGTTGGTGCTGGCGTCCGGGATGCCATCGGCGCTGGTGTAGGCGCTGGCGTTGGTGCCGGCGCAGGCGCGCAAGTTCGTGCTGGAGTCGGTGCTGGCGTCGGCGCTGGCGATGGAGCTGGCCCCATCGCAGGCGGTACTCGGTGCCGTGCCTATGGCCGTACCCGTCCGTGATCGTGATCATGGTGCTGGCGCTGGCGCTTGCACAGGCGGCGGCGTTGGAGCTGGCGGCGGGGCTGGCGTCGGTGCGGGGGTAGGCGCTGGCGTTGGAGCTGGCGCAGGCGTTGGCGTTGATGCTGACCTCAGTGCTGGCGTCGGCGCTGGTGTGAGCGCTTGGGATGGTGCCAACGCTGTGTGCCTTGTGGCACGGCTCCTGAATATTCTTCCCCCCCTCCGCTGTGTGCCGAGGCGTGGGAGGGAGTTTCGGCCACGTTCGCAGGACAGCATTCCTCCTGTGATGACTGTCGGGGGAGTCGTTGCACGGCCAGTGTTGCTGGCGTAGGGCTGACGTCAACACTGGTGTAGGCGTTGACGCTGGTGCAAGCGGATCCGAAGGCGTTGATGCTGGTGTCGGTGCTGGCGTCGGTGCTGGCGAAGGCGCCGGCAATGGTGTTAGCGGGGAGGGAAATTTTGGAACGGCGTTCCAAAATCGGCTTTGGGCTTGACGAGGCGTTGGCGTTGGCCTTTGCGCTGGCGTTGGCGCCGGCGTTGGTGCTGGCGTAGGGGCTGACGTCGGCGCTGGTGTAGGCGCTGGCGTTGGTGCTGGCATCGGCGAAAGCGTTGATGATGCTGGCGTCGGTGTTGGCGTCGGTGCTGTCAAAGGCGCCACCGTCGGTGCTAGCGGGGAGGGGATTTTGGATGGGGACTCGGAGTTAGTGCTGGGACTGGTTCTTGAAAGCCTTGGGAGTGGCAGCGGGATCATGGTCGGGCGCCCTTGTCTTGGTCAGCTTTGTCCCCGTGGTGCTGCTGGCGTTGGTGCTGGCGTGGGAGCTGGATAGGCCGTCGTTGGTGCTGGCGTTGGCCCTGTCGGCATAGGCGCCGGCGTTGGTGCTGTCGTAGGGGCTCCTGGCACTGAAATTCGTGACATCTTCGTTGCGTCTGAAGTTCCTGCGGAGCCGGTGCAGGAGTCTTTGGGGCGTTGCTGTATTTGTATTCGCTGCCACTGTGTTGCGTCGGCTCTGTAGAGTAACGGTCTGGACGTGCCGAGTCTGCCAGGGAGGGGGAAACGTAACGAATTTCCCCCCCCTCCGCGAAGTGGTAGATGGCACACTGGTTATCCCATGGGGTGGGATAAGACGCCTGGAGTAGGGTTTATTCGACCGCGGGTCGAATGCAGGTGTAGGCGTGGCATTGGTGTCGGGTTTGGCGTCGGCGTTGTTGCTGGCGTCGGTGCTGGCGTCGGTGCTGGTGTAGGCGTTGGCGTCGGGGAAGGCATAGGCGCAAGCGTGGGTGCTGTTGTCGGTGCTGGCGTCTGCGATGGCGTAGGCGCCGGCGGTGGTGCTGGCGTCGGAGCAGTGGAGCCGGAGCTGGGGATAGAAGTGGTGGGTGGCGCACTCGTTATCCCATGGGGCGGGATAAGACGCTGGGAGCAGGGTTTATTCGACCGCGGGTCGGATGCAGGTGTAGGCGTTGGCATTGGTGTCGGGTTTGGCGTCGGCGTTGGTGCTGGCGTCGGTGCTGGCGTCAGTGCTGGTGTAGGCGTCGGCGTCGGTGAAGGCATAGGCACAAGCGTGGGTGCTGTTGTCGGTGCTGGCGTCTGCGATGGCGAATGGGCCCGCGGTGGGGATGGCGTCGGAGCTGCACGTCGGAGCTGGGGCGTAGGAGCTGGGGATAGAAGTGGTGGATGGCGCACTCGTTATCCCATGGGGTATGGGGTGGGATAAGACGTTGGGAGCAGGGTTTATTCGACCGCGGGTCGAATGCAGGTGTAGGCGCTGGCATTTGTGTCGGGTTAGGCGTCGGCGAAGGGAAGTACGAAGCGAAGGAGGCACTGTAACATTAAGGCAAAAGAGATATAACGAAATATTGTGAAGAACTACGATGGTGAGGTATGGTGAGACGAAAGTGGGATGACGAGACATGTTCGCACCCCATGGCCACTCTGCACCTATATTTTTGCATGGGCTATGTGAAATGGGCTCAGGTAGTGTTTTTGAAACTTTTTGGGGGTATCGATAGGTTTCCCCAGAACAGGCTCCTTTGCTGAAGTTGATGTCTTGAGCTGTAAGACCTGTCGCGCTCGCACATACACTGGCATGATCTTGCTGAAAGGCCCACGAGGGTCCCTGCCATAATGTTGGTCTGGACGTGGTGCCGCGAAGCGCTGTGGATACTGCTGCAGCAACTCGTTGGTGAAGTTGATGCAGAGTTGCTCGAACGAGTTGGTCTCGAAAAACTCGAACCCGAAGATGTCCAGGAGGCCTATGAAGGAGGACTGGCAGGATTCTGGCTCGCCTCGACGAAACAAACTGTATACACACGAACCTTCGGAGGTCTGCGCTGGTTTCTTTGCGCTGGACCCCCCCCCTCCCCGGCGCGCATCCAGAGCCAGGGGCGGCGCCAGAGACACCGCCAGAGGAGCCCAAGCGCCGACCCGAGAAATCCGCGCAGACCTCCGACAATGTGTGTATGCTTTTGTGCCACATGCTCTTCCTTCGTCGCCCGCCGCGCCCCCCGCCTCCGCGGCGCGGACGGCCTCGTTGAGGCGCCGCACCAGGAAGCCGAAGACCGCGCCGTACAGGTGGCGCGCCAGGGCGTCCCGGCTGTCGGAGGCCTTCGCGACGGGCAGCGGGCTCGTGATCGTGCCCCCGTCGCGGCCTGGCACCCTCCGCGTCTGCCGGCACAGCGCGCCCTCGAGCCTCGCCGGCTCCACCCCCAGCAGTCGGCACGCGTGCGCTAGCGAGGCCATGGAGGCGCCCCGCCGCACGGCCTCGGACCCCTCGGAGTTGCCCGGCGGCGCGGCGAAGGCAACGTTGCCCAGGTGCAACACGGCCATCAGCGCGCCGAGCACGCCCGAGATCTCGGGCTCCGAGACGCCGTGCGCCCGCATCGCGCCCAGAGTCGCGGCGAAGTCCACCGACCTTAGCCGCCCCGATGCCTATACGACCACCCTTCGGGCGCGAAGGAGGCTGAGTGGGGGGAACCAACTCACGACAACTGCGATTACTGTGATGGTGTCGATGGTGACGATACATGATGACGTGCTTGAGCCAAACTGCTGTAATGATGGTGGTGGGGGTGATGGTACTGCTATCTGCCTCGGCGATGCTGGGATGATGACGATGATGGTGATGGTGATGCTGATGATGATGCTGATGATGGTGACATTCGAAAGCCGACAGCCATCGGAGAACCCTCCAACAACCATCTGGACACTGGCGAGACAACCGCGGTACGAGCACGGGATCATTGAGAGACCATTGGGGCACCACTGGGACATCATAGGGACACCATCGAAACACCATCGGGAGGAACACCTCAAGACGCTGCGGGGGCAAATAAATGACACCATCGGGACACCATCGGGGCACCATCGGAACAACATGTGATCACCATCGGGACACCATCTGGACACCGCCATGAGAATATGCTGATCTCACTATTGATATCACCATCGGCTACTCTATCACTCTATCGGTCTCACTATCGGGTCTCACGATCGATCGATCTCACTATCGATCGGTCTCATTACCCGTCGATCTCACTACCTACTTATCTATCTATCGCACGGGTCAACCATCGGGACGACCATCGGGGCACCATGAGGACACCATCGGGACACCACCTGGACACCATCGGGACACCATCGGGGCACCATGGGGAACACCATCGGGACAACATCGGGACACCATCAGAACACTATCGGGACACCATCGAGACACCATCAGGACACCATGTAGACACCATGTGGACACCATGGGGACACCATGTGGACACCATGGGGACACCAAGTGGACACCATCGGGGCACCATCGGGACACCATCGGAACATCATTGGAACACCATCGGGACACCATCGGGACACTGTCTAGACACCATCGGCACCATCGGGACACCCCCCGGCCACCGCCAGCCAACCAGGGGGCACAACATCTCTTGGCCCAGTTTGCCCTAGCCACGGCGGCTTCACTCTGCTCGCCCGCCCACGCAGCTTCGCCTCGCCCGCACGCAAGACACGAACGCGAAACCGAAACCGACTTCCCAGTGGGGGGTCTCCATTTCACTTTGATCTCACCCCCCACCGTACGACGCAACAGGCAACCCGTAGCGCGTTGACACAGCACGTGCCGCATCAACACGCAACGCGTTGACACGGACGTGTTGAACAAGGTACGTGCGTCGCACTTCAAAACGGGCGTATCAAGGCAGCGAAGCCCCCGACTCGTCGCGCCCGTCGTCGAGCGTGACGCAGCGGCTGCGCCTCAGGTACTCGAAGTCCTCTGGCCCGAAGGCCGCCGCGCCCCCGAGGGACAGGCCGTCGCCCGCGGCCGGGCCAGCGGGTGCGTCGCGGGAGGCCGCCGCGAGGGCCTGATAGAACACGTGGAAGCTGCGCTCCCCCTCCTTCGGTGGGGTTCAACGGCAAGTTCGTGTCATGACGACCCCGGCGTTGGTTTCTGACACCGCGTGAACCGCTCAACCTCGAACGATGGACAGCCTTTCGATCGCCAGACCGTTCCATATGAGCCGATTCTGGGCCACCGCCTTCGCCCCACCTTGAACGCCCGCGCCCGGGTCACAGCCGAGTCGGCACGACACGAATCTACCGCAAAGGTATCCATGGCCCAATGCGTCTCCAGCATTTCGCTCCATTCTGAAGCTCGTGTGCCCTCTGGGCCTCGTGAGGGGTGCTCTGGAGGCAGAGGAGGCCTCCTCGGAAATCCGCTGATCTGGCGTGTGAGTTTGAAAATGTCTCAGCTACAGCCTACAGCCTAGAGCCTGAGCTTCAGCTCTTCTGGTAGGGGGGGGCCGGGTGGGCTCTGCCAGGGAAGGGGGGGAGAGGGGGGGGGATGAGTTGTGGTCCGCTCTCGGGGGGGGAGGGGGGCGGGGGGGGGGGGGGGCTTTTCTGGGCCCATGAGGGCCCCAAGACGAGCGAAGAGGGCCCCAAGACGGCCCCGGAAGCCCGCGAGACGCCCAAAGAGCGCTCCAAAACGCCGACGATGACCTCCAGACGGCCCAAGAGGCCGCCGCGACGCTCCAAGAAGCCTCCAAGAGGCCTCAGAAGAGGACCCTCAGAGGCCAAAACCATCAACTTTACGATGGTTTTGGAAGGATTCTGGCCTTCCCGCCTTTTCTGCTTCCCGACGCTCGAAGACGGCCCCAGAGGCCCCCAATATCGCCCCAAGACGGCCCAAGAGGCTCTCAAAATGGCCCCAAGACGGCCCAAGAGAGCTCCAAGACTGCCCCCAAAAAACCCAAGACGGTCCCAAAAGCTCTCAAGACGGCTCCAAGAGGGGAACCAGACGGGGAACCCGAACGGAAATTTCGAGCCCTCGGCCTCCAGAAGCCCCCAAGAGGCCCCCAAGAGAGTCCCAAGAGGGTCCCAAGAGGTCCCAAGAGGCCCCCAAGAGCCCCTTAGCAGGACCCAAGAGGCCGATAAGAGGCCCCCAATAGGCCCAAAAGAGGCCCCGAGGGTCCCCACAACGGCCCCCAGGATGCCTCAAAAGTGTACCCATGAGACCCCCGAGAGACCTACCACGAGATCCCAACGAACACTAAAGAGCCCTCCGACACCACCCAGGCACGGTGGCGGCATTTGCTGAAGGCCAATACATAATCGTAAACGTCGCCGTCATCGTCATCATCATAATCAGCCTCCTCTTCCTCCTCCTCCGACCGTTGTCGTCGTCATCGTCCATCCCAACAATAGCGTCAAAAGCGCCCCGGATCGGCGGCACTGGCCGGAGGCCACTACAATCCTGGGAAATGGATAACAATATTCTAGTTCGCGCGCGCGGGGCCGCCCCTGGGGTCCCTGGACGAAGAATACCCCGGCAAGTCCCGGCAAGGTCCTGGCAAATCCCAGCAAGGTCCCGGGCAGGTCCCAGCAGGCTCCCAAGAGCGTTGCAGGAGCGCTTCAAGTGGCCTCCAGGAGAGCTCAACGTGGCCCGAGACGGCCCGATGACGCCAACGATGGCCTCCAGACAGCCCAAAGCGCCTGCAAGACGCCTTCAGAAGCCTCCAAGAGACCTCCCAAGAGAACCCACAGAGGCAGAAATTAAATATTTTGCTGTAGTTCTTTTGATGTGGCGTTCTCGCCCTGGGAGCTTACCGGCGCTCCAAGACGGCCCAAGAGGCTTCCAGGATCGCCCCAAAAGGGACCCCTCACGATTCCTGAGGGGGAGGGCGGGGTTCACTTCGTGGGGGGTAGGGGTAGGGTTCGCATGTGGCCCCCTAAGGGTCTGTTCTGGCCACGGCGAGCCTCGGCTTCGAACAGGCCCTCGACCCAGACATACAGGAACGGCCGAAAGCCAGAGCCCCTCCTGAGCCCGAATGGGTCCTCATTTCAACGTCTTGGCTGTCCGCAAAAACCTGGCTCCATCACCCCGGCGACGCCAACATACCTAGGACCCACGGGGGGCCATCTGAAGGAAAGCATTCCCGGGGCGCGCCGAGGAACCGAGGGGGAACGGCTTCCGCGGAAGAACGATATCCTTGGCGGAGGGGTCGGGCACGGGGGTTACCCCTGCCTAACATTCCGGAAGAGAAATTAACTCCCAGCCGCACTAGGGAAGTGTATTAGTATTGCTTGCACGCTATTGCGTCCTATATCCGAGGTCGACATTCGATACGGTTTCCTTATTTCTTGATCGCGATGCTATTCTGCTTCTGTACTCCCACGTCGCGATCCTAGTGTTTCCTTCTTCATGAGTAGCGAGTGTATACTGTTTCCATGAATGCCTGAATCCCAATTCGATAAGACTAGCTGTACTGCAGGACAAGGTGCACTCTAGGAGCAGCTTCGCGCCAGTACATGATGGTTCCGATTGCACTCACGTGCCATGTGCACTCTAGCCAGAGGGGCTCATGGGTTCCGCGCGCGGAAGAAAAAATAAATCCGCCGATCCGGCTTGTGAGTTTCAAGGAGTCTCAGCTACAGCCTCGAGGCTGAGCCTCAGCCTCTGGGGGGGTTGCCGGGGTGGCTCTGCCGGGGAAGGGGGGGTGGGGGGGGGGGGTGCGAGTTTCCGGCGGATGCGTTTTTTGACACCCCTCACAAGGATCGTGGCCTCCGAGGGGGTTCCGAACTCGAGTACCACCCCTCCCGCACCAAGAGGCTCCGAGGAGGCCTCCAAGAGGCCCCAAGGGGCGCAGAAGAGGCCCCCAAGAAGCCCCAAGAGGCTCCCAAGAGACCCCCAAGAGGCCCTCTAGTGGCCCCAAGAGGCCCAAGAGGCCCCCAAGAAGCCCCAAGAGGCGCCCAAGAGGCCCCCAGAAGTCCCAGCCAACCACGAGATCCCAACCAGCATCCATGAGGCCTCTGACCCACCACCCACGCACGGTGGCGGGATAGGCCGACGGCCACTGGATCCGCCGCCCCCTGCTTGCAGGGGTGCACGGCGTGCTGGACGAGCTGTTAGGTTTTGGTTTTGGTTCTTTTTCCAAAAGAACTCCCCAGTGGGCTCCGGCAGAACCCGCCACCGTGCGCAAAAACGGCCGTTTCGCTCGGGACATCCTCAAAAAATCGCGAAGATGGCCCAAGATGGCCTCCAAGTCCGCCCGAGATGGTCCAAGACGGCCTCCAAAACGGCCCAAGAGAGTCCAAGACGGCCCAAGACGGCCCAAGAGGCCCCCCAGAGGCCTCCCAGACGGCCCAAGAGGCCTCCAAGAGGTCCTCCAGGAGAGTCCGAAGAGGGCAAAATCATTGATTTTCCCTTGGTTTTTGAAGGATTTTGGCATTTGCGCCTTTTCGGCTCTCCGACGGCTCAAGACGGCCCAAGAAGCCCCCAAGATCGCCCAAGAGGCCCCCAAGAGAGCCCCCTGATGGCCCAAGTGGCCTCCAAGATGGCCCCTAGAGGGCCCCAAGACGGCCCAAGAGGCCTCCAACACGCCCAAGAT